ACTGTTGTCTTATTTTAAGAAATTTCCACAGTTATCCTGACCTTCAGCAACCACCACCCTGATCAGTCAGCAGCCATTAACATCAAGGTAAGACCCTCCACCAGCAAAAAAGCTTACTACTTGCTACAAGCTCAGATGATGGTTAGCATTTAGTAATAAAGTATTTTTGTTTCTCTAGACATAATGCTATTGCACATTTAATAGGCTACAGTGTAGTGTACACATAACTTTTATATACAGTGGGAAAACCATTCATTTGGCTCGCTTTATTGGGGTATTCACTTTATCGTGGTGGTCTGAAGCTGAACCCACACTGTCTCTGAGGGCTGCCTGTATCGGTTCTCTTGATGGTATCCTGTAAGTTCCTTAGATTCAGTTCACTTTCTTTTTTATTTTTTTTTTAAAGATTTTATTTATTTATTTGAGAGAGAATGAGATAGAGAAAGAGAGCATGAGAGGGGGGAGGGTGAGAGGGAGAAGCAGACTCCCCGCCGAGCAGGGAGCCCGATGCGGGACTTGATCCCGGGACTCCAGGATCATGACCCGAGCCGAAGGCAGTCGCTTAACCAACTGAGCCACCCAGGCGCCCCATCAGTTCACTTTCTTTATCCTTTTTCTTCTGCTCCCCAGACTTGAGAATTTCAGATGCCCTATCTTCCAATTCTCTGATTTTTTTCTTTTGCCTGCTCATCTCTGCTATTGCAGCCCACTAGTGAAATTTCCATCTCCGTTATTACATTTCTTCACTCCAGAATTTCTCTTTACTTCCCTTTTATAATTCTTATCTGTATGTTGATGTTCTCATTTTTTAAATATATTCTGTGCCTGATTTCCTTTAGTTCTTTGTCCATGTTTTCCCTTAGCACTTTAAGCATATTTAAAAGAGTTGTTGGGGCACCTGGGTGGTTCAGTCAGCTAAGCATCTGACTCTTGATCTCAGCTCAGGTCTCCATCTCAGGGTCGTAAGTTCAAGCTCCATGTTGGGGCTCCACACTGGGAGTGGAGACTAATTAAAAAAAGAAAAAGAATTGTTTTAGTCTTTGTCTAGTAAGTCCATTGTCAGCCTTCTTGGGGATGGTTTCTGCCCATTTATTTTGTCCCTTCAATAAGCCATATTTTCCTGGGTTTGCTGTTGTTGTTGTTGTCACCATCATTGAAAATTGGGCTTTACATTATTATAATATAGTAATTCTGGATATCAGATTTCTCCCTTTCCCCAGGGCTTGTTTTTTTTTTTTTATTTTTGGAGTCTGTGATAGTCCATTTGTTTTGAGACTTTTCCAGACTATTTTTGCAAAGTCTATTCCTTGCCGTATGTGCTCACTGAAGCCTCTGTTACTTTAGCCTGTGTTGAGCTAACACAATTTGATAGAGATTTTCTTATGCCAGGAGCTGAAACACACAAACGAAAACACCAAGATATATATATATATATGAGAGAGAGAGAGAGAGGAGAGAGAGAGCAATCCCCACTCACAGCCTTGGCTGGGTTACTCTTCCCTTAGTTAGACCTGCTCTCAACCTAGACATCAGCCTTAGGTGAAAGTTAAAATCGTCCCAGATTTTTGTGAGCATATGTCTTCCCTGGGTATGCATGTGGCTTTCTAGATTCCCCTATACAAACACTGCTTTTGAATCTCCTGATTTCCCAGAGTCTTACCCCACTTTCTCCTCCATCCCTTAGACGGTATATTGTATGCCTCCAGTGAGAATCTATTGCCTGGGGTGTCTACACGTGTGTATTCTCTGGTTGCTTTTATGAGCGAAGCCTGTAGCTTTTCCTACCTGTGTCCTGAATTATGTGAGAAAGAGAGAGCAAGTGAGTTCTTCAGGTATCCCCAGCCAGGTTAGAACAGATGTACACAATAATCTGCAAATAAGATCTGCTCTCTCCCTCTATTTTAAAGAGTGGAACTAGGAACTGAGTTGCCACCACTTGTGTCTAAGATGGTTGCCATTTGGACAAGGGTTTTTTGAGGTTTTGCCCCCCATGATTATATGGAGGAACATGAGCTTAGAGCTTCTTAGTCCAACATCTTTCAGATGTCCCACCACTATTATTTTACGTGGATTTACTGCATACCAAAACTGCAGTGAGCTGGTTATTTTCTCTTTGCCCTCCAGATATACTCTCTACCCTTCTCTGTGCTACTCTGTGTCCGGCAGGCTGACTGCACAAACCACATCAATGGGTTCTCAGCCCCAGTGGGAGGAGAGGGAGGCTGTGAATTTAATTCCCTTCCTGCCGTGGACACAATTTGGCCACATCTTTCCATCAAATGTCACAGCTTTCCTCCAGTGACCCTCTCCCTATGGCTACCCACCCTGAGATCTGGACCCGGCACATGTCCCTTCAGACCCGGGGGTAAGGAAGAGCTTTCCAATCACCATCACCTTCTGCTGTCTTAGCCCCCAGATCCTTCAGCACCCTTTGTACATATCCCCAGATCTTTCCACACCTTTGTAACTCACCTTTTTATTAGCATCCTTCACTTACTCAGCTTGAGAGTGCCATCTGTTTCCTGCTGGAAGTCTGAGTGACACACTGAGCTCTTGGCGGCTATTTCTCTTTCAGAGAAATGCTTCTGATGGTGGAGTAATGCGCTCAGATACCAGCAGATTCTGGAGGGTACTTTGGGTCAAAAGATAAGAATTCACTTTCCTGAACAACTTTGTAATATTTATGAGAATGATACTCTGCATGGGGTTCAGAAAATGTGTCTTATTAAACACACAGCCTCGGTCCTATAATCCGAAATGCAGACAAATTTATGGTTCAATTCCTGCAAGGCAAGTGAATGACAAGAAGATTGCCCTCCCTTTGTGGGTGGGCAAAGCAGAGCAGCACCCTGCCATCACGGGAAGCCTGTCCCAGGAGTGGCATCATCCTGCCTTCCCGAAAACTGAGAAGACAAGTGCCCAGGGGAAACTGCAAAGGGAGATATCTATTGTCTCCTGCGTCTAGAAAAGAGCTACCCATGAGGTGAGATCAAATACATGAACTGCTCCTTCTCTAATGCATTCTCCTCACTGTCGAAAGGCCTTTCTTAAGCACAGAACCGATGAGGAGGCCACTTTCTGTTCCAGAAACCTCCAGGGGCTCTTTGACCAGGACAAAGAATGACAAATACTCAGCATGTGGGTGGCCACTCCCACTCCCGATTCCCAGGGCCCACTTGTCCAATAAAGTTGCTTTCAGCGGGGGAAACTTTCCATTGTGGCTCTCCAGGTAGCCAACACTTAATGTTGCTTTCATTTCAGGTCAATGTTATTTCCCAACCTTGTCCTTTAAGGTAAAATATATTCTGAATTCAGAAGCACAGCATTGCACAATGTGGCCCCAATCTTCCATTCCAGCACCTGAGCATTTTTCCTCTTACTCTTTTGTGCCAAACTGTTAGCTTTATTCGCACTGTTCACAGCATATATTGGGCATTTGAACTATCTGTTAGACTAATATTGATACGGTCCTATGAACTGAAGTTTGCTTTAAACACAAGCACATACACACAAAATTTGCATCTGAGCCAAATATGTTTAGAATATTGCAGTAGCCCCGGATAATATTTGTGTATTAGTTTGGAGCATTTGCCCATACACTTATTTTTATATATTTAAAGGGCACAAAAGGCTTATTAGATGAAAACTTGGGAAATATATTCCTTATGGAGCAAAAGCAACATGTTCAAGCCCAGTGTGTTTTTAACTGACTCTTTCAAGCAGGTGACCTCATGACCTTGGCCTCCTCCAGGGAGAGTGGTCAGTGCATTCCCGTGTGAGGTTGAATCTTTTCTTTGTTGTACTTCAGCTGTCCACAAATAACAAATTCCTGCTGTTCTCCCAAGTTGTCTCGATTTTACCTCTCCCCGGAAAAGCCAATGACATCATTTATCTGCTGACTTATTTTAAGTGTGAGCTTACTTAACACTAATCTACTGAATTCACATTAGAATTTCAGCTTCAGTTTCTTAAGTAGAAGAGGAAAACAAAAACAGGATCTTTACAATTAGAGTTAAATTTTAAAAATGTGTCTAGAGAAAAGAATTTGATTCTAAATATAGACAACTATACACAACTGCATTGGAGTTCATGGCAGGTTGAGATTCAGATGATTTTCATTCTACCAGTACTCACTGAGAGACTGCTCTATGTCGGGACCAGTCTGAACACTGGGGAAGGGGGAAGGTCTGAGGACGCCACTGCCCACCCTCCCAGAGCACACAGTCTTGTGGGGACAGAAGACATGCCCACAAATTATTGTCACCCAATTTAATTTTAAACTTCACTCTTCAGATAATATTTTCAAGCTACCCTTTAGTGAGCACTTACTGTGTGGTAGGCAATCATTATTTCACCTATATTATGTCTTTTAATTCTCATGGCAGTTTCTATACAGTAGGTGTTATTCTTTCTGCTTCAGAGATGAGAGAAGCAAAGCTCATAAAGTATGGGTAATGCAAAGTTCAATTAGCTAGTAAGCCCATGCGCACAAGGAGCCAGACATTAATTATTGCAGCTATATTTTTAGACAAACTTTGAAAACATCGAAATGTAGCAACACAGCCAAGGTTACAAATAATCCTAAAACTGAATTGTCAGTTCCTGGATAATTCAAGATATTCCAAATATGTGGTAGTTGGTAGTTGACGACCCAAAAGATATTTTTTGTTCAGAGTTAATTTCTTTACCAAAATCTTTTTTAAACAAATAAACCCACTGGAAAATATTTTCAGAATCTTTTTTTCTTTCAAGGCAGCAAAAATAAATTTAGACAAAGCAAAAAATAATTGTCAATTTTGATCTCAGCAGATTTATCTTCATAAATAACCCAGGGTGGTATGTGGATGTGTGGCTCAAAGTGATAAGATTATAAAATATCAACTAGAAACAGTCACAATAGTGGAGTCTGGGAGTGCAGATTTTTTAGATTGGCATATTTGGAATAGCTTTATTATTATTATTGTTTTAGCACATTTTGAAAGTGGAAACAGAGGGCTAGGACAGGATAATACTGTTGCTATGAGGGGCTTTGGTTTCTCTGCAATCCAATAGCTTGCGTTAAGAAATATGCCTCTCTTTCAGTGAACCTTCTCTAAATACCACAGAATAGGTGTCGTTGAGATCCTGAGAGCAGCCTTCATATTGAGGGACTGGGGTTAGCTGCGGAGTGACACAGGCCTGGAGCCTTACACGCAACCTTGTTTGCACAGAGGCCAGAAATGAGTAGAGTCAAGAGAAACTGGTGAACAAAACCTGACCTTCCTTCCAGCTGCTCCCTGCAAAAATGCCCTGCACAAATGCAAAAAAGCAGAGTGGAGTTCAGCTGGAAGATGGCTTGAGAATTTCATGATCAAAATTTCCTCTTTCCGGGAACCGGCTATTGAGTTGGAAGCCTCGGGCCGGAAGGCACTGCAGAATCTTTGGGGACAAACAGAAAATGGAGGACCTTGACTTGCCCATATTAAGTCAGTCAGCAGCAACTGGAGATTTTAGTCCAGGGTTCCAGACCTACCAGAAAGGGCAAATCTCTGTGAGTACATAGTGCCCACGCTGTGGGACCTGGAGGGTGGACCTGGACGGTGGGGACAGGGGTCTCATCGGTTTGTTAAGTGGCAAACCTGCTCCAGAGGTAGTCACTGCAGATGCAAGCAGCGAAAACTCTTCAATCTAGAGGGAAAAAGGCAATTGTTGGTTTTAATCTTGAAACAAGATTGCTTTAACAGGATTTACCCAGTTCGTGTATGTATACGTGTGACCCAAAGTGCGAAGAGAATAGAATAGCAACCAGAAACAAATTCAAAAATTCAAGTTCTACCATTTACCAGCTGCGTGGCCTTGAGCATTTTGCTTCACATCCGTCAGCCTGTTTCCCCTTCTGTAAAACAGAGATAGTAAAAGAATCTAGTTTATAGGCTTCTTGTAAGGACCGAGAGAAGAATTTCACATTGCCTGGCACTTAGTATTTCATCTTATTAAATATTATAATTATCATCAAAGATCTACTTTGTATATTTAGACAATAAAACTTGCCCTTAACTACACAGGATTTGCCAAAAACTCATCATCTGTCTGTCTTTGTCCTCATTCCCTCCCTAGCTATTTCCTAGCCTTGAAGGATTTACCTGGCAAGTCAAGAAAGTCTCATTTCCTGGAATTGAAGTAAGTAGGCCCCCCTCCCCGAAATCCCACCAGACCTTCTCCAAGGAGGACCTAAACGCAGATGGTCAGTTGGTACCCCAGTTTCCAAGCAGAGAAAACAACTGGACAACGTTCTACAGTAGTTTCTAGAGGGTAGACAATTTCTTTATGTGATTCTCTTTTGCAGCTCTTAGAACTCAGCTCTCGGGGTAAGTGTGGGTGTTAGTGAAGACGGCCAGCAGCCGTGGAGGAGGGCGGGGTGGTGAGAACGTTCTTCACCAGTGTGGGCAGAGACCAGCTCCACGACAGACAGTGCAATCTCTTCCTGACGTTCCAGATGCAGGCCAGGTAGGCAAAAAGGAAGTAGAAGACACCATCATACCTAGACTCCAGAAGGCTTTCATTCCATTTGGATCAATTTTAGAGGCCGCCCCACTCAAACGGGGTTAGTAGACCATCTTGGGAAGGGCTGCAGAGACCAAAGCAGGATCGTGGCAGGAGCCCTGGCACACCTTCCTCCCTGGAGCTGGGCTGGCACTTCACACCCTTCTCCTGACAAGTCAGCCCTGTTCATAGTTCCTCTGACCCGTCAGCTCTTTCCTTCTTTCCAGGCCCTTTCTGACATCCTGCCTCCACCGCACTGCCTCGTGGGCAGAAGGGTCTCACCTCGGCTGTCTCGGGGTCCAGCCTTCAATCCGGATGCTCAGCAGGTGTTTCCAAATTCCCAGCAGGACTGTCCGCTGTGCTCCAGGCGGATTCCTCCCATCCTCCCTCCCTTCTCCCCTCTCTCTTCCCCTTTTCCTCCTTTCTCCCCTCCTTTCTTCCTTCCGGCCAATATATTTATTGCTGGATGCCCGGCACTGAGACTTTGTTCCTGATCTGGGGTTAAGCTGAGCTCTTAGATTTGAAGATGCCAGAGACCAGTGTTGAAAGCACCTTGAGGGAGGAGAGCATTTATGGGGTGTGTTGAAGAAAGACGCTCGGCCGATTGGAAAGACTGAAATGGTTTGGACTTAACGAAGCCGACCGGCGTAGCAGAGGGGCTAAGGGCGAAGCACGGGGAGAGTCGGTGCGCCAAGTGCGGGAGGGCAAAGCTCAAGCAGCAACGCACATCCAATGTGATGGTGGAGCACCTCCTCCCGTTCCTCCTGCCCTGTGCCAGCCACAAGGGGAGCCGAGAGAAAAGTGGAAAAGATGCTCTGGGGAGGCACGCCGAGGCAGCTACCATGCTGGAGCCGCTGACCCCGACACTCCGCATGGGTTCCCCGGTGATTTCCAGGCGGGGCAGCTGGGAAACAGGCACAGAGGGTTAGTGGTTTCCCAGGAAGGGATACACTTCCTGCAATGAATCACCCTGTGTCAAGGAGGATTTTTATGACATCAGCTTCCAAGCAGATCACCGAGACTCCGCCACTCAAGAGGGCACTGGAGCTTAACACCACCAGAGCCCACACTTGATGTTTTCTTTCTTGTATTTTCCAAGGGGACATTTGGACCAAAAGTGGCCTGTGCCCCTGGAAACTCTGAGTAGTGGCTTGGCATCTTAGGAATCCGTCTGTTGTGCTTTGTGGAAGAGTCTGGAAAGGTCTAGTTTTGTCTGGAAAACAAAACTCATGGTTGTTACTGTGAAAGTGTAACCCCGCTTACTCCCTTCTAATAAATGCTGCAATCTCGAAATAACATGAATTAAATAAAGTGATCCCTTGGTATCTAGATATATCACTTAAGATCAATTTGCTTCTATTGGTCTAATTATATTAACTTTGGATTTTGGAGATACAGTTGCCATGCTTTTTGCAAGTCTTTCAAATCCTCAATATTTTCCTTTTTTATTCCCACTTTTTTTTTCAGTGAAGCCTAATGTCTTCCAGCCCCAGGCTTGCGGGTCCGTGTTCATCTCTGTGACTGACCCCATAATATTTACTTACAACGTTCATAAAAATACCGTGCATGCCAAAAGCTGCTAGCTGCAGGAAAATGATAAAATATAAAAATATTTAATCAGCCAGTGGGAATTCCCTTACGTGTTAAATCAAAGGGTCTCTCAGAGGGTTCACCGTGACCTTGGAAACCCAGCAGATTCAAGCCGCCCTGAAGGGCCCCAGCAGGAGGGAATGCCTGCGGAGAACCTGCAGGGCCCCTTCATGTCTTCGAGAAAACACAGCCCGAAGGGGGTTTTGGCTTCATTGTCAAGGAGCTCAGGGGCAGGTGTGTGGAGACACAGTGGGGCTTTTCCATTTGGGGTGTTTGTCGTTTGTCCTGTCTCACCCAGGGCCATCCCACCTTGTGACACCTACTCTGTTCCTCTTTCTCCGAGTCTGTTTCTCTAAAAGGGTCACTGTGAAGGGTTTCTTTTGCTTTTTTTTTTTTTTTTCCCCAGCTTTACTGAGATATAACTGGCATATAACATTATGTAAGCATCAGGCATGCAATGTGATGATTTGATATACATACATATTGTGAAATGTTTACCACAATAAGGTCAGTTAATGCATCCTTTACCTCAGGTGTGTGGAGGGCTTCTAAGAAAGAGTTGCTAGAGAAGTAATAGGAGGAGTGATGTGGTGGGGAAAACACCCCAGGAAAAGCAAGTCTGGACCCAGCCCTGACTCTGCTACGACCTACCTGGGCCAAGTCATTGCACATCTCTGGGAATCAGATGTAGGGGCAGTTTTGAGCTCTAGTGGTTCCACAAAGTACCCTTAGGTTAGAGAGAGGGTGACCATGTGAAGCTATTGGGCTTCTAGGCCCCTCCCGCATTCCCATGTCAATCAGCTCTGCCTTACCAATTTTAGATTTGGGATTATACATATTACTTAATTCACAAAAAGTATCTTACTATTAAGAAGGAAAGTTTAAAAACCAGTGGGCCACAAAGAGATTCCTGTTGAATATTAATATAATTTGGGGTTCAGTAATATCTCAGACTCCAATTTCCCTCTCTTTGGCATTCCCTACTAAAAGCTGGTCAAAACTGGTTAGTTACATCTGCTGTCCACTAAAGAGCTGATGGGGTGTAAGCCCCAAGAAAGGGACCATCTGAGAGGTGAGGTTGGGTGTCAGGATTCAAGGATTCAGTTTCGCAAGCAGCAAGCTGACCCACATGGCAAAATGCTTTTCTCCCCTTTGGGGTTACTTTCTACAAGAATGGTACCAAAGCAGTGTACCATGTTTCGACTGCCTGCCAAAGTTTTTTTTAAGCTTTAAACTAGTCAAACTGTTCAGAAGCTCAGGGCAATCAGAAATGTTAAGTCCCCTCACTCTCTTGTAATTAAAAGGTAAATAGATTTTTACTTATTTCACCAATTATAATACGATAGTTCAGAGGGCCCAAACTAGATCATGATTTACGAAGTCCAAATGTCACTGTTGGTTATTAAGAAGCACAGTTCCTTTACTTAGTGTTCTCTTCTCCGATCTTTATGTTATTTTTTTCCTAATGCCTGCAGAAGCTCCGTCGTCCAGGCACCTCACTCTCCCCGTGAGTCTTCTTTCAAAGTAAGCCACATGGCTACAACCTCGTCCCTCACTAACCAACTTGGTTCCGTAGTTCCTTCAAACTGTGAAAATCCTGTTTTTCTCCATAAGGCTCTAATGGACCACTTAGGTGAGGACCCGAAGACATTCTTGTCATTCTTCGTGCCCTTCTGTAATATTTACCCTTGCAACTTCCACCAAATTTCACTCACCTCCAACGTGCATGGAATCTAAAGGCCTTTTAAAAATACACTTTATTTTTATTTTTTTAAAATTTTTTTTTAAAGATTTTATTTATTTATTCATGAAAGACAGGGGGAGAGAGAGAGAGAGAGAGAGAGGGAGAAGCAGGCTCCCAAGGAGCAGAGAGCCCGATGCGGGACTCGATCCCAGGACCCTGGGATCATGACCTGAGCCGAAGGCAGACGCTTAACCATCTGAGCCACCCAGGCGCCCAAAAATACACTTTATTTTTAGATGCGTTTTAGATTAGCCACGAAGTTGAGAAGATCGTGCAGAGAATTCCCATTCCAGATTTGTTTTTGAAGTGAGAATGTCTATAATCCTTTTAAGTCAGTGTCTTTTACTTAAGTAGATATCAGTATGCTCTTCACTTGTGCAGACATTTCAGGGTGACTTTTAAAACATGAGCTCCAAAAAATGATGAAATTCTCTTTTAATGGTGCCATGTTTTTTATTAAGATACAGAGCTCTTAATGGCTTCTGATGCTGCTGCCACCTACCATATTTCTGCTTTTGAAGATACTCTTAAGGTAATGATGCAACAAGTCTATTTACCATTCATTTGAGGAATTCTTTCTTTCCCACAGTTCTCTTCCTCCTTTATTATCAAGACATTCACTTGGCCCTACTTGGTCAGTTTCTTTTTCTGGTTATCTATTTCTGGATACTGTGTTTAAAAAGATCCTGGTGCTAACACTGAATATGTATTATCAATTTCCATAGTGGCCTAATCATTGTTCTAAGTAATTCTCTCTTCTTAACACACACTGGCATTTTATTTGAACCAACAGTTTATGAATATCCTTGGTGCAGATACACTTATTTGTATGTTTGCTATGATGCTTAAATGTGTCCCCAAGTTTGAAAGCAATTCAGAAACAATTTGCCTGTTTGGGTGGCCAAAGAGGCATAATTTGAAAACTCTGAGATGTATGTTAAATTTAATTTTGCACAGAATGCATCAATTCCCTAATTTTGTTAGGTGTTTCCCTGGATTTTTATTTTCACTTCATGTCTGAAACAGAAGTGTGGAGGAACTGTTGTACCCCTTCCCTGGTCTCACAGTTTGATGGGTTAATTATAAAATGAATGTTTTTCAGAGTGGCCAAAAAAATAACAAAGCATGATAAATAAGTAACTCTCTGTTCCTTTGATGAATTTTTGTTATTGTTATTGTAGAAGTGTGACTGAAGGGAAAAAAAAGAAAACCAGCTCGACTAGCACTGTGAATGCATCTGTAACTGAAGCATTTGAGAAGAATACTTCCTTCCAGAATGAAATGTGATCTAAAGGACCAAAGGTCATCAAAGAACCTATGAAAGGGAGTGAATAATGTGGGTTAGATAGCATTTGATTCTTCATTGCGATCAAGAATTCCCCATTAGTCTTATGCTACAAAGATGTAAGGATTGGAGGGACACTTCTGACAGGAGACAGTAATTTAGTGCATCCAAAAATGGACTTGCTGGACTTGGAAATATGAGTCTACAATGAATCAATTGCTGGGCAATGAATGAATTGATGCAATATGGCCAGGTTCCAGAGAACAGGAGCACCTGTCTTCAAAGCCATGTGTGGCTAGACCCTGACATAGAATTATAAGTAAAGAGACCCAGCATCACCAGATAGATTTAATTTCCATGACATTAAAATTATGTGAACTGAAGTATCAAGTATATATCTCCTGGTTCACTGCCATCTCCTCATTCATTCATTCAATGAGCTAATGTTCATCGAGCACCTACTGCATGCCAGGAACTTTCTAGGCACTGGAGTACAGCAGTGAACAGAGAGTAAAAGTCGATTAGATGATGAGGTATATTCAAACAGAAAATACTTACTTTAAGGAAATTAAACAAGGTGGAACAAAAGACCAGGGACAAAAGCTTTGAGAGCCAGAGAGCACCATAACAGGTGGACGACGTATCTGGGTTGGCCATCCATGAAAAAAATTCTCTGAGCTAGGTGGGAAGTATATTCTTACTCTAGGAGGCCAGGAACTGTTTGTCTATTTCCCCGAGTGTATTTATATATGTGAAATGACTATATATATATATATATATATATATATATATATATATATATATATAATGTGCATGCCCCCTCCCTTCTCACACACACCCCTCCCCGCCACTGGCAAAGATACCTAAATTCTAATCCTTACAACAATGAATAGCAAAACTGGACTTTGGCAGATGTAACCTAAGTTACAGGTTTTGAGATGGGGAGATTAACCTGGATTATCCAGGTGGGCCCTAAATGCAATCACAGATTTCCTTGTAAGAGTGAGGCAGAAGAAGATTAGACCATAGAGGTAGGTATTGGCCACAAGATAGATAATGCTAGTCATCAGATGCTGGAAGCTTCTAGAGGCAGCATGGCAGCTTGATTTCAACTTAGTGAAACTGATTTGGGACTTCTGGTTTCCAGAACTATGTGAGATAGATATTTTAAGCCATCAAGTTTGTGGTAATGTGTTACAAGTTTGTATTAGTTCTTGTGTCTGCTGTAACAAATTGCCACAAATGTGTGTGTTTATCTAATGTATCCATTCATCCATTAGACATATCTGATATAAATATCTAATGACTTGATTTTCATTTCTAAACCAGTCTCTATCCCAGTCTTTCTCATTTTTGGAAATGGCACAATCAACTACTTCCTCAGGTAGAAAACTGGGACCATCTTGAGTTTCTCTGTTTCCTTTATTACTACCTCACTTCCAGTTCCTAGCAATTATCAATATCTTTTGGTTCTATTTCCAAAATATGTCCGGGATGAGGTCACTTCCTTGTCACCATTACCGTCATCTTAGCCTTTAGCCACCATTACCTCTCGCCTGGAGCACCAAAGCAGCCTCTGAACTGATCTTACAGTTCCTCTCTTGCTCCTGCAATCTGTTCCCCACAGAGTACTTAGAAGGAACATTTACGAATATAAATCAGATTGAATCACTCCCTGATTAAGCCACCACTTGTTTCCCATGGCCCTCTTTG